GGGAGAGCTGCGACTGCGGCTAGTTCGATTTTGGTGCAGGCCAGGTGCGGGCGGTGTGTCTTCGAGATCTGAGTGCCGATATCGCGGCCGCCGTGGTCCGGTGCTGCGCCCGGACTGCGCTGGTGGTGCTGGGGGCCAGCGCCCCGCCGGCCCTGGGGCGTCGCGATGGCGCGCGCGGCGGCGGGCCGGCGACGGCGAGTGAGCAGTTCGGCGCGGTATTTCGTTTTGGTGGAGCATAGGCGTGCTGCCGGCGCGACGGCGAGTTGGGGCAGTTTGTCGGTCCCAGCTCGGTGGCTGTCACAAACAATGTTATGGGTTTTGTCAGGGCCGCCCAGAAGGGCGAATATTTCTGTTTCATTGAAATGTTGATTAACCGGCAAAGCCCGCCCCCCGAATTGGCAGAGGCCAGGAACCTTGCTCGCCCGTTGGCCAGTGTCGGGGTGGACCCGGCGATCATCGGCGCGAGCAGCTCGTTTAGCATGTATTCGAAGAATGGAGCGAAAGAGTACATCGAGCCCCGCGGTCGGAAGGGGGCCATGGACCGCTGGAGTGAAGCGGTATCCTGGACCCCCTTGGTCAAAGTAGTTGCGGCGAAAAGAGGTTGGTTCGGCCCGTCGTTGAACCTCCAAGTTGACGGCCTGGCACACCCAGAGAGTGTGGGTATTATAATTGCAGGGATTCTCAGGTAGGCTTCTTGAGCTGGCCCAGTCCGAGGCCGTTCGGTTGTCAGGACTCTGGCGCGCGACCGCGGCGGAGCAGGAGTTCGCCTTGCCGTCGGATGAGCGCCGGTCTCTCCGACCCATCGGGCCAGTAATGGTTCGTTCGGCCGCTGGGGGATTTCCTGAATCGACGGCTCAGGCCTGGGGCGGATTTTGCCCGAATCTGTTTTCCTCTCGCGAATTAGAATCAGTTATATAACATTGGCGGCAGCAACTGAACAGGGAAGGGTTGTCGCGACCGCGATTCGCAGTTCCGTGGTGGCGCTGATGGAGGTGCGCGAGGCCGACCAGTCTGACGGTCCATTTCACCGGTGTTGGCTTACTTTCTTCTCTCCGTGGCGCGCGCGGTCCAAAATCCGAAAGGAAAAGGCTAGGATTTGGGGAGGGCGAGCCAGCGACATTTCATGGCCCGCCAGTCAGGGAGAGGGGATCTGAAAGCGGTGCGCGCGCGGGCCGAGCTCGCTGGGCCCTGGCGCCAGAGACTCCGTGCGGGGGCGATCCATTGCGGCCTCTCTGACTACATTGAGGGCGTGAATAGGCAGAAGAGGAAAACGAGGGCCGTCAGCAGTGGCTTCCCAGAGACCCTCGTGCGCTCCCTGATGGGCCAGTGCGGTGCGCCCAGAATCGCGACGAGTGGGGTGTTCGATGCTGGCGCAGTTTGTGCTGTTAAAGGTTCCCCCGCGGGGTGCTCTTTCGCCTGTTTAAACGCCCGGGTGCACTCGGCGCCCCGGGGGGGGCCTATGGGTGCGGGGGCGCCCCGCGATAGAGCCCGCCGCTTTCCTTGGCGACTTTATGGCGACCAGCAGCAGCGCCAATCTGCGCCGCCTCGTCTCCGGCCTGGCCGAGTGTGCCGATTGCTCGGTCGATTATTCCGAGTGCGACCTCGACCGTCCAGATGCGCCGCGCAAAGCCGCAGTTCCGGCCCATGTGTGGCAGTGCAAAGGAAGCCCGCCAGTGTGCTGGGCAAGTGCTCTGGCCCCGTTAGCGTGGACTTGGCTGCAGCGCCAAGCCTTGGCGTCGATTCCACGGCGGGGGCCCCCCTTCGTGGAGGGCGCTGGAATGGCCCTCAAGAAGCGAGCGATCAAAATGAAGATGCGGCTTCAGTGCTTTTGGGATGTCTTAATCGCGCACGGGCCAACGTGAGAAACATTGGACGCGCAGGTTTAAAGTCGGTCGCAGTGCGGCGCCGAGATCGCGGGCGTGGCAAATCCCGAGCTTAGAGATGCTATGGCCTTGTGCGGAAGGATCGCCTGGCCGCGATGCTCTGCCAGGTCTAGGTCGTCATTGTTGGCGAGTCTTGTGGGTCTTCATTGGAGTGGCGCCATGGGGCCGGCCTGCAACTGGGCCAACTTGACCATGAGGGGTGTTTGAAGAGCAGACGGGCGCTCAGCCGCTGCAGGCCGCGTCCTCCAGGCTCGGTCTGGAGGGCGCGCTTGACGTGATTTCGGCGCAGCGATCGCTCGTGCGCGAACCGATCTCAGGCTCTATGAGAAAAACGCAATGGTCCTGGTCGTGCCGGCGCACCTGGATTGATAAGAAGATGGTCGAGGCGGGCTATGATGGCCAGGCCGAGTGTTGAATGATTCGTGGTTTCACCGTCTGTGCCTGCGCCCCGGTGCTCCGTGCGCCTTCATGGAGGGGGTGTTGAGAGCCCAGCGGACAAGAGCCTGGGGTTTCCTCAAGTCCTTGGTGTCCTGACCTCGCTTGAGTCTGTTGCTGTGATACCCCGTGGACTTGGGCGCCTCTAGGCTGCGTGCTGGACCAGGGGCGGTGGAGATGCCGCTGGGGCGATGGTGGGATCGGTTTTCCATGGCGGTAGTGCTTTGAAGCCTGGGCGCGAGATTTGCGTTGCCCCGGCTTGGGCCGTTGTCGAATGTGACGGGGCTGGGGGCATAGTCGCCGCCGTCTGTGGTTTTGTCGGGCCCACCTCTCCTCGCGCCCCCCCCCCCCTGCTGCCGAGCGTCCGGGGGGTCTATAGTGCGGCCGCGTTTCCAGGGGTCATTAGGGCCATCGCTGACTCTAGCGGCATTTCGACGGCCCATCAGATTCCCGCCGCGAGTAAGAAGTCTGTGTGTCCATGAGTGTCTGTGCTCGCGCGTGTCCAGCCCAGTCTCCGCAGGTTGTGGATCGAGAAAGTGGGGGCCAACCGAGCGCGTGGCGGGCGGCAGCATGGCTCGCGGGGTTCTTAACGGCGGGTAGCGACTGGGCCGGCAGGGCGGTCTCGATTCCCAACCCGTCGGCCCACGAACTTCATACTTTGGTTGCGGCGCGCAGCCGAATCGCTCACCGCGCGGGCCCCGCTCACGCCCAATCTTGACAAGAAGGTTCTCGAGGGGCCTGCCCCGAGCCGCCGTTCCTCCCGTCGAAGCAGCGGGGGCTGTCCAGAGTTGGCTTGCGCCGCCCTCGCCGCCGGCGGGGTTCCGCGGGCGCCCGGGGGCTCCGATGGGCCCCCCAGGGCAGACGGTTGCATGTCGGGGGCTGGTTATATAACCATTGGCCCAACCTGATCTGCCGCGCGCGTGCTCGTTCAGATTGCTCGCGTCAGTCCAGGGCCGGGGTGGCTTGTCTTGGTCATGCCGCCTGTTGTCCGCCCTTCTCATGCCCCCCAGGAGGCGTGATTTTTCTGTTTGGGATTATGTTCAGTGCCCTCTCCTGGTCTGCCGCTCGCGAGGCAGCGAGGCCGAGGGCGACTTTGAAGGGTTGATGAAGAACTGCTTCAGAGAGTTCAGATGCATTTCTCTAGGGTGCGTTGTCGCTCCCGCGCTAATGGCGAGGCCCGAAGGACTCCAGACAAAGTCGGCGCCCCGTCTCAGCCGCCCCATTCCCGTTGCCCGATTGCTGAGAGGCGGGGCTAGCGCCGGGGGTCTCGCGGTCCACGAGCGGCCGTGACAGCCAGGCGGACGTGCCCACGGAGGCCGCGTCGCTGACGCCGGAGGTTTCCAATATTCAGAAGACCCTGGCGCCCTCCAGATGGCGGTCGGGTATCCTGGACGGTCGAGCACATTGCGTGGGGATTGGAGAGGTGTGGCGCCTGTCTTTCTCGGTCCTTCGTTCCGCCAGAGCCGCTCAGTCGCACGCCCAATCCCAAGTCGAACATGATGCCCGGCTGCCGTCTGACTGAAGCGGCGGCGCGATAGCTCGTCTTTATTTTTCCTTTTTTTTTTTCTTTTTTTTTTTTTGTTTTTGTTTTTTTTTTCTTTTTTTTTTTTGTTTTTTTTTGTTTTTTCCTTTTTTTTTTTTTCTCTATTTTTTTTTTCTACAATTTTTTATTTTTTTCTCTTTTTCTTTTCTTTTTTTTTTTTTTTTTTTTCTTTTTTCTCTCTTCTCTTTTTTTTTTTTTTTTTTTTTTTTTTTTCTTTTTTTTTTTTTTTTTTTCTTTTTTTTTTTTCTTTTTTTTTTTTTTTTTCTTTGCGGCGGCGCGATAGCTCTCGTTGCTAAGGAGGGGAACGGGGCCCGCTTCATGCCGCCGCGTCATTCTCTTCGCTTCGCCCCCTCCCGCAATTCTAAGTCCCCCTTCTTCTTCTCCCATTCTTCCTCTTTCTTATTTATTATTATTCTTCCTTCTTCTTTCTTTTTCATCTTCTTCTTGTTTTATTCTTCTTCTTCTTCTTCTTCTTCTTCTTCTTCTTCTTCTTCTTCTTCTTCTTCTTCTTCTTCTTCTTCTTCTTCTTCTTCTTCTTCTCCTCCTCCTCCTCCTCCTCCTCCTCCTCCCCCTCTTCCCCCGCGTCTCGGTCTTCCAACCCGCCGCTGCTATCTCCTCATCCTGCTGCTGCTGCTGCTGCCGTTGCCCTTCTTGACCGAGTTCTGGGCGGCGACGCGCCCGCGCGGCGGCCGCGTTCGGAGATCCCCAAGGAAGGGTGCCTCCAGGCACCGCTGGGCCCGTGGGGTCCTGCAAGTCGGGGCGATCGAAATTGGTACGAAAAGATTTGGGGTAGGATGCCCAACAACAGTTCCTGTTCATTTTGAACCGGATTCGCTGCTCGCGCCACCGCAGACGTTGTTCTTTGAAGACCAAAAGCCGCCTGCCCAACAGCGGCCGCTGTCGATTTTGGACAACATGTGTTGTTGGGCATCGTACACATTTTCCGCGTAACCATTTCGGGCGTTCAAACCGGAGATTCTGATGGGGACCACTTCGCTGCTCCTTAGTTGGCTTTTGGGGGGGCCTTCGGGCCTCGTGGCCGCGTCTGGGCGCAGTTCGAAGGACGGGACAAGGATGGAACCTCTGAGGTGCCCCAGGGCAAGTTTTCACCAGACTGTGGTTGAAATGGGCCAGGTTTCAGAGATTTCGCGAGCTTGGCCAGTCGCGCGGTTCGCAATATGGGCTGCGGGTGTGATCTTCTACAAGACGGCGGCGCGGTGGTGTGAAACTCGAAGCTGTGCGGATCATGAATTGCTGCTGCTGCTCCTGTTCCTGCTCCTGGAAGATGGACGGCTGCCGCCCTGGGGCGCATCTCTGTTTCCGTCGTCCTCCTGCTGCTGCTTCTGGTGCTGCTCCTCCTCTTTCCATTGCAAGGTGGACGGCTGTCGCCGCGGGGAGCTATGCAACTATCCAGGTGCCTCCGGCTTACCCGCCACCCTGCCAGCGAGGTAATCCGTGCACCGTCTTGTCGAGCACCACCCGCAAGGCCGTCACACGTGACACCTCTCGTCTCGTCTCCAGGTCTCCATGGGATCTGTAGGGGTTTGCATGGTCCAGCGTTGCCCCCCCCTAGTGTTCATGGGATCGACACCCCTCCCGTTGGATGGGTACGCCCGTGAGTTTCGCGAGTGGGCTCGTCTCCCGCCCCTGCCCCCTGTTGTCGTGGGTGTGGCGTGGTGGAAGGGGGTGCCCGTGTCCCCGCCCCCCCCCCTTTGGGTGTGGGGTGCCGTCGTCGTCGTCGTCGTCGTCGTCGTCGTCGTCGTCGTCGTCGTCGTCGTCGTCGTCGTCGTCGCCACCCCATCCCATGTGGGGGCGTGGCTGTGGAACCTTGGGGTCCTTCCCATTTGGGGGGGTTGTGAACCCTCGAGCTGGGATCCTGCATGGAGCTATTCTGGGTCGTCTTTTGCCTGTCTTGGGCCGTCTTCGGGCCTTCTTGGCCGTCTGGTAAGTATCTTGGGAGGCCTTGTGCGTCTTGGGGCCGTCCGCGTAGGCCGTTTTGGTTTCCTCGGGCCAGCTTGGGCTTCTCCAAGGGGTGTCCTGGGCCGTCTAGGGTCCAGGGGCCCTCTTCCGAGTGGGCCCAGCTTGGGCCTCCGCAGGCCGCAAGTAGATCGATCTTCGACCGACGTGGTGCGTGGGAAGCGACATGCATAGAATGTCCAGAGGAATTTCGGGGGCGTCCTGGCCAGGGATGGGGCAGGAGGAAGAGGAGGAGGAGTTGAAGGAGGAGGAGGAGGAGGAGGAGGAGGAGGAGGAGGAGAAGGAGCAGGAGGAGGAGGAGGAGGAGGGGGAGGAGGAGGAGGAGGAGGAGGAGGAGGAGGAGGAGGACGTGGAGGAGGAGGAGGACAAGCTAGGTGCGCTCGCGTAATATATGACGTCCTACTCCTCCCTGCCATCCCTTACCATGGCGTTGATATCCTCTCTATTCGCACAGTCGGATGTCGAGTAGGGCTATGATCGCTCGAGGGTACGCGATGCATGGTAGAGCACGGCATGGCATAACGCAGAAGAGCACGGCAGAGCGTAGCATGCCATAGCATTGCGTGGCATTGTGCAGTGAGTTATTGCATCACAAAGCATTGCAATGCAAAGCATGACATTGCCCAGCGGCGCAGAAAACAACACCGCACAGCATGTCATGTCATGGCATGGCGCCAGGTTCTTTGGAGGGTAAGTGGATCGACTTCGAGAGGTCTGGGCCGGTCTGGAGTCGTGGTCCATGTCTAGCTACTTGGGTTCTCCGAAAAGATTTACACGAGGCGGGGCTGATGGAGAGCGCCCGCCGGCTCTGCTTTGAATATCACCTTCTCAAAGCAGGACATGGGGCTCCCGCTTGATACTTCCTGAAAGCGACGACGCGCCAAAGTGGGGGGCTTCTGCGGCTCCCAAAATCGATGAATCGACACCGAATGTGTAATCACTTCCCTTTTTTATATATATATATATATATATATATATTTGTTGTTTTTTCTTTTTTATATGTATATATATGTGTGTGTGTTATTTAGATATTGAAGCATATTTGGAAGGAAGGCCAGCGCTGCAGCGAGAGCACGATTCGGAACGAGTGGAAACGCCGAAATGAGGCCAGCGCTGTAGCGGGAGCAGCATCTTGGACAAAAGCCCAAGCGAACACCCAGTTCCCAGGAATCCTGTGTGTAAACGGGCAGTACGCGGAGGGGGGCCAGATCTTTTCCGGAGATCTTCGGGGGGATAGAGGAGAGCAGTATCCATCGTGTGTAGTTGAGGAGGAGGAGGAGGAGGAGGAGGAGGAGGAGGAGGAGGAGGAGGAGGAGGAGGAGAGGAGGAGGAGGAGGAGAGGAGGAGGGAGGAGGAGGAGGTTAGTTGTGGGAGGGGAGGAGGAGGAGGAGGGAGGAGGAGGAGGAGGAGGAGGAGGGGAGGAGGAGGAGGAGGAGGAGGAGGAGGAGGAGGAGGAGGGAGGAGGAGGAGGAGGAGGAGGAGGAGGAGGAGGAGGAGGAGGAGGAGGAGGGAGGAGGAGGAGGAGGAGGAGGGGAGGAGGAGGTGTAGTTGGGGAGGAGAAGGAGGAGGAGGAGGAGGAGGGAGAGGAGGAGGAGGAGGAGGAGGAGGAGGAGGCAGGAGGAGGAGGAGGAGGAGGAGGAGGAGGTTGTAGTGTGGAGGAGGAGGAGGAGGAGGAGGAAGGAGGAGGAGGAGGAGGAGGAGGAGGAGGAGAGGAGGAGGAGGAGGAGGAGGAGGAGGTTTGTAGTTGTGGAGGAGTAGGAGGAGGAGGAGGAGGAGGAGGAGGAGGAGGAGGAGGAGGAGATGATGTGTAGTTGTGGAGGAGGAGGACGAGGAGGAGGGAGGAGGAGGAGGAGGAGGAGGAGGAGGAGGAGGAGGAGGAGGAGGAGGAGGAGAGGAGGAGGAGGAGGAGAGGAGGCAGGAGGAGGAGGAGATGGAGTGTAGTTGAGGAGGAGGAGGAGGAGGAGGAGGCGGAGGAGGAGGAGAGGAGGAGGAGGTGCTTTGGCGGCTTGGTGGCCTGCCCAGACCTCCTCGTCGGCCATCCTGGGCATCACCTCTTGGACCACCTCGGAGAGCGTCAGGGAGCCGCGGGGGCGCCCCTGGAGCCTCGGGGGGAGGGTGGGGGCGATGCACGCTGTTGAGCGTGAGGGGTGGGCGGGGGCCCGGGGGGTGGGACTCGGAGGAGGAGGAGGAGGGGGAGGAGGGAGGGGGAGGAGGAGGGGGAGGAGGAGGAGGAGGAGGAGGAGGAGGAGGAGGAGGAGGAGGGAGGAGGAGGAGGGAGGAGGAGGAGGAGGGAGGAGGGAGGAGGGAGGAGGAGGAGGAGGAGGAGGAGGAGGAGGAGGAGGAGGAGGAGGAGGAGGGAGGAGGAGGAGGAGGAGGAGGAGGAGGAGGAGGAGGAGGAGGCGGAGGAGGAGGAGGAGGAGGAGGAGGAGGAGGAGGAGGAGGGGTGGGCGGATTGAGCCTCAACTCGGGCATGTCCCTCTACAGGAGGAGCATCCCCAAACAGCCAAGAAATGGTCTGGGGACTGTTCTTGACTGTTTGCGTCTTGACTGTTTTTTTTTTTTTTTGTTTGTTTTGGAGTTACTTTTTTTATTTCCCCTCCAAAAACCGCCTGTAGGGGGATATGCCCGACCTGAGGCCAGGGGGTAGGACTCGGAAGACTTGCACGAGCCCTACCAGACAGCACTTGGCATTCTACCACGCCTCCGCCTGCCGGAGCGCACGGTGGTGGATTGCCACCTCTGCAACGAGAACGAGCGCAAGAAGCGGAAGAAGGAGCGAATCAGGCCTGCTCCCTTAAACATCATTTTCAGGCGATCGCAAACATGGATCAAGGGGGCGCGGATTAGCGACGGGTCCGGTTTCCATGGGGAATCGCGGATTTCCGCCGCCGAACGAGGCGGCACCGGCCGCATTTTGTGGAGGGCACCTCCGCCGATCCATGGATTTGGCGACCGCGCGCCAAATCCATGGATCGCTAATCCATGTTTGCGCGCCCCCGACATTTTGCCTCATCTCCCTCCTCGTCCTCTTGGGCGAAGGAGCGAAGAGGAGGGCCGGGAGGAGGACGTTTGAGAATCACATGTTTAGTATATAGAGAGCGCCCGAAAAAGGGATCAGGGGAGGCTTTATCTTCGTGGAACGCAGATGTTTTTGCGATCGCTATCGGATCCTACTCTTGCGGGTCCAGCCGGCGCTGAAGCATTGGACACCCTCCAGTTGGGCCGACTTGGCTGCAGACACTCTTCAAGTTCTGACCCCCAGTCATTTTTTTAGAAGTCGGACTTGCAGAGGTAGGGTTCACAAGTGCGACCGAAGAAGACGGGTTCGACTGCGCCGACATTCGCGCGTGAAGCCTCCCGCGTAAGCCTGTGCGTGAGCTTCCTTTTTTTCCACGCGGTGTGCCACTCTGGCGGCCAGCGTAAGCCGCGGCGTAAGATCGCTACACTTCTCGCGTAAGCCCCGTTTCGTTTTCGTCGCTCATATGTGGATGGTCAACGTTTGAGCTAGTGGACGCTCTGACTACCCGCGGGGCGCCCCGTCCAGACCCATCGGGAATGGGGAGGGGGAGCGCCAGCTGTCTCGCTCACTCCCACCCGCCCTCCGACTACATCAGTGGCACCCGAGTCTCAGCGTAGGCAGGGGCCACCATCGACAGCCATTGGGAATCGATGCAGACGCCAGCCAGGTGCGCGACGCCCGCGAGGCGATCCGCACGTGCCAGGTGAGCCGCGCGCACCAGGCCCGCCACTCTGCGCAAGGTCTTGAACCCCCCCACCGCTCCTGCCGGACACGCGTGCAGAGTGACGGCCGGGCCTGCGAGCACCGCGTGCCGTGCGTGGGCGAGCGGCCTCGCTGCACCTGCTTCTGCCGGGGATGGTGGGCCCGCACGCCGCAGGCAGCCTGCCGCCCTCCCGCCGCCCCTGGCCACGGGAACTCCGTTTTTTTTTTTGGGGGGGGGTTTCTTGTTTCGGCTGCCGCGGGCGGTGGGCCTGCACACCGTGGGCACGGTGCCGGCCCGCCCGCCGTCCCCTGCAGAAGCCGGTGCGGAGCGACCGCGGGGCGTCCGCGCAGGGCCCAGAGCTTGGCGCAGCGCGTGCTTTCTGTGCCGCTTGCCGCAAGGGGTGGTCGGGGAGTGTTTGGCGTGGCGCACGGCAGGCGCCATGCCGGCACCCCAGCCGTCCCGGTCAAGAAACCACTGCGAACGGATCGCGGGGCGTCCGCGCAGGGCTCCCAGTTTTGGTGCGCAGTTCATGTTATCACACTTTTGCAAAAAGGATGGTGGGCGGCGTGCGGGGAGGGGGAGTATGTTTTGAGCGAGTGTCAGTGGAAGTCACGTCATCCCGACTCCCGGAGAGCGAGGTAATGGCTACGCCAGCCGCCCCCCCAGGGACCATTTCTGCGGATGTGCTGGATGCGCAAAACGAATCCCGATCCGGCGCTCTCGCTCGATACATCCTTGCAACATCGCCCCCCGGACTCCACCACGGCGCCTCCAGGGATCATTCCAGGGGATGTGCCGGGCGCGCCAGGCGAATCCCAATCTGGCGCTCTCGCTCAATACATCCTCACCGGCCTACTCCACGCTCGCCTGATCCTCATCCCAGTGATCCTCTTTCCGCCCGATCCTCATCCTCTTGATCTTTATTCTCCTTACTTCTGCTCTCCTGATCCTCATTCTCCACATCCTCACCCTCCCTCTCCACCCTCGCCTGATTCTCGCCCGCGTGGCCCTCAGCCTCCTGGTCCTCACCCTCCTGAGCCTCACCGGCCGGACCACCGCCGTCCTCTCAGTCTCACCATTGTCGTCGACCACAGGCGCACGCCCTTTCTGATTTGATATACAGAAGCTCCCGATCAACCGCAGAGAGGCCGGCTTGTAATATGGAGCAGTGGCAATCCCCTACATGACGCGGAAGGGGTTTGCAAAGGGAAGCGCCCTAAACCATCTGCGCCCTAAAGCGCTGGTGGGGTTCTGACCCTGGCAGTTTTTCAGATATCTGACCAGCATGGGGCAGGGTTCACATATTCTAGGCATCCCAGGTGGGCTCGGAGTAAGTGGGGTCGGAGGATCGCGCCGCATCGCCGATGCATTAGCGATGCGGCCCGATGTGGAGCCCGACGTTCTCCACGCCGACTGCGCTGGTGCATCGCCGATACATCGCCGACGCATCGCCGATGCATCGCCGACGCATCGCCGACGCCTCGGGGATTCGTCGGCGATGCGGCACGGTCCTCCGACCCTATCTAGTCGGCCCCATCAGGGAGGCCTATGGTTGCCTAGCGTTTGAGCTCGTGGGTTGTTCTGTGCCACCTGGTAAGGCAGCTGGCGGCTCTCAAGGCGACCGCGCGCGCCCAGATGTCCACGGCCGCATTCTCCCTGCCGCGGTGACACGCCGGCCGCGCAGGCGGCGGCTCCGGGGCTCGCTCGCGTGCAGCACTGCTGCCACCCGTGCAACCAGCTGGGCTTTGAGACGTGGTGCCGCGAGCGTGTTCCGCCCCCTGCGGTTCTCGGAGCATCGGCCCGGGCACGCGCCGGCCATCGGCGCTCGAGGTCGGCCGATGTCTTCCCGAGCGCCCGGTCCCTTAGGAGCGGGGCTCGGCCAGCGCCCGTTTGTACACGGTTTTTGTTCCAGTCTGGCTCATGCCTCTCCAACTCCCCTGTGCCCTTGCTTCCTGGCGGCGCGCACGAGGGGGTGGGGGCCAGGGGGGAGGGCTCCTCGGCAGGAGGCTGCTCCTTGGAGCAGGCGCCGGCCCCACAGCTGCAGACGAGGCCCGCGCCCTCCAGGAAGCAGGGCTGCTCCTCGAGAAGCCCTCCCCCCTCCCCCCTTCCCCCCCCTCCGCGCGTGGCTGACCTCCTGTGCCTCGCCTCCCCGTCCCCTCCTCCCGCCCTCGCTCCTCTCCCGTGGGGCGGGCCCCCGGAGAGGCCGGGCCCGGCGGTGCGCAGTCCTCGGGCGCCTGCTCCTGGCCAGGTTCAGGGGAGAAAACACACCCAGACACAATTCATCGTCGATTCCCCAGAAAGTATGGGAAGTGGGGGGGAAGACAAAAAGCAAGAAAATATGGGAAAGTATGGGGGATATTTTTATTCGTGTGTGTTTGTTTGTGTGTCCCAGGGCCCCTTTGCAGGTCCCCGAGCCGCGTCCCGCCAGCGCCACGAGCAGCGCGCTTCCCGATGCCGGCGGATCGGCCACGCACAAAGGGGGGGTTAGTGCTTCTTAGAAGCACTCCTGCTTCTTTCAGGAGGGGAAAACACACAGACACAATTAATCTGCGATTCCCAGAAAATATGGGAAAATATGGGAAGTGGGGGGGAAGACAAAACCTAGAAAAATATAGGAAAATATGGGGGATATATTTATTTGTGTGTATTTATTTGTGTGTCCCAGTTCCCCTTGATTCTTAGAAGGCTCGGGGGTGGACAGGCCTCCTATCCTGGCGCGTCGATTAATGAAGGAATTGGCCGCTTTTGGTTCGCGGGAGGGCGTCGCTGCCGTCATTTTTGCGGGTCCAGGTCCGTCGGTTTCGGTCCCAGGCCGTTTTCACTAAGGGGAGGTTTGCTAAAGGGAGGTTTGTCCACCGCCGAAAGGCGCGGGCCTTATCTATAGATGTAAGGCCTGCGACTTCTAAGAAGCAGCCTCCTTCCAAGAAGCCCTCCCCCCTTCCCTCCGCCCCCCTGTGCGCGCCACCAAGCAAAGGCGGACGAGTGTTCATGAGCCCAGATCCTCTTCCCTCCTTTATCCTTGTCCTTCTCTGCCCCCCCTGATGAGTCTCCCGTACTTCTTGGTGTGCGGGCTGTCTCGGCGCTGGGCTGGCTGCAAGCAGCCAGCTCGAGTTTTCTGACCACTAGAGCTGTGCCTGCGGCAGGTACGCGACGCCTCGACGCGGCGGCGACACCCGGCGCGGGCGCTCTCCAGGCTGAACGCCCTCCTTGGGGGCCCATTTCGGACCCCAGGGCCTACAGAAAGCAACCTGCGGCGCGAAACCCACATGGCAGAAACGGGTCTTACGCGAGATGACGTGGCGACCTTACGCCCCGCCTTACGCGGGCCGCCAGCGCGGAACGTCACGCCGGAGACGGGGGGGCTTGCGCGCGACCTTCCCGCGGGCAGCTTGCGCGCGAATGTCGGCGCCGTCGCCCCGGTTCTCCTCCGTGGCAGCTGTCGTCGAAGGCCGTGCGGACGTCCGAGAGCGGAGATCGTTCAAGGTATGATCGGTTCAGGTGGCGTCAGAAAAACCGGGGCCGAGGCCTCTCTCGGCGGGAGCCGGCCGCAGTCTCGTGCGCCCGACCTCGGTCTGACTCGGTCTGGCCTTTGGTTCGTTTTTGTGGCCGCCTCCTCCCTGAATGGGCTGCGTCTTTCGTGAGTGGGCTGGCCTGCGCGAGTGGCCCCCTCCCTGACCTTCCCACGCCGACGCCTGGCGGACGCAGGCGCGCTCCGCGCCCCGCTCGACTCGTGGCTGAGCCGCTTTAGGCATCCTGGTGCCTGCGGTCAAGTCGGGCTTGTCCATCCACAGGAGGAATATTCAAAACTAGTCCAAGCATGGTCAGGGGACGTTTTTTAGTATTTGTAGTATGCTTTGGTCATTTTTAGAATATTTTTTATGCTTCGTCCGAAATCCTCTCGTAGTGGGACACGCCCGATTTAAGCCTACGGATCCGATGTTTGAACTTCGTCGTGCCCGACGTTGTGATGCTTGCCTTTGCGGAAGGGCCTGCTCGTTTCGGCTACTGGTGGTTGGGCTTGTTTCTCGTAGGGGCTTACCGCATTCTAGTAGCACTGGCTTCGAAGCGTTGCCAGCAGCTACGGAGCAGGGTCGGTCTCCCAGAGGTGGCATGGGCTGTCTCCATTGTCTTTTCCGATGCGATCTCCAACCGGTAGCTTGAGCAGTGGCCGCGCCAATGCCGAGTTGTTTGACTGAGCACCGTTTCGTGTGAAGACCTCGAATCGGAACTCCTTTTTGTATGTCAGCCAGTGTGGACCCCACAGACCGTGTGTTCATAGCAGTCCATGTCGTGCAGTTAATGTTGAGCAGTCTATGTGGTGTAACCTACGTAGTGCAATGTATGCTGGCCAATGCAGGTTATACATACGGGGGGCCCGCAGCTGGGGCCCCGACCACAAATTTGTGCCGGGGCAGGGGCCGATCTTGGGGGGCCCAACATCGCAAACAGCCGCCCAGGAGGCCCAAGACGACCCAGAGCCACCCCCCCAGACGGTCTCCAGGCATCTTTGACGGTCCAAGAGAGCTTTAAGTCGTCGACAGAGGCGCTCCAGACAGCCCCAGAGGTCAAGCAGTGGCGAAGCATCCTGGCTCGCCCATAGCCCTATCAAACAATATTCTCAGAACCTTTTGTTGTGGTTTCCACGACATGTTCTTAGAACATTTCTGTCGGAGTCCTGTCTTGTTTTATCACCTCGGGCTTATATTCTAAGAACATTGTTTTTGTTCCTAGAACATTTTTGGGTTCTAATTACATTTCGTGGTAGGACTATAGGAATGCCGGGACGGTCGGTCCCTGCTCAAAGAGGGTCCCAGGAGAACCTCAAAGTTCGGGTGTTCTCACGAATAGGAAAACTGAACCACGACAAGAGAAAACTGAAGCACGACAAGGCACGGCTTATTCATGACAAGCTTTTTCGGCGCCCACTTTCGCAGCCCACTTTCGGCGCCCACTTTCGCAGCCGACTTTCGGCGCCCACTTTCGCCGCCCACTTTCGGCGCCCACTTTCGCCGCCCACTTTCGGCGCCCACTTTCGGCGCCCACTTTCGCCGCCCACTTTCGGCGCCCACTTTCGGCGCCCACTTTCGCCGCCCACTTTCGGCGCCCACTTTCCCACTTTGGCGCCCACTTTCGGCGCCCACTTTCCCACTTTCGGCGCCCACTTTCGGCGCCCACTTTCGCCGCCACTTTCGGCGCCCACTTTCGGCGCCCACTTTCGCGCCCACTTTCGGCGCCCACTTTCGCCGCCCACTTTCGCCGCCCACTTTCGGCGCCCACTTTCGGCGCCCACTTTCGGCGCCCACTTTCGGCGCCCACTTTCGGCGCCCACTTTCCGGCGCCCACTTTCGGCGCCCACTTTCGGCGCCCACTTTCGGCGCCCACTTTCGGCGCCCACTTTCGGCGCCCACTTTCGGCGCCCACTTTCGGCGCCCACTTTCGGCGCCCACTTTCGGCGCCCACTTTCGGCGCCCACTTTCGGCGCCCACTTTCGGCGCCCACTTTCCGGCGCCCACTTTCGGCGCCCACTTTCGGCGCCCACTTTCGGCGCCCACTTTCGGCGCCCACTTTCGGCGCCCACTTTCGCCGCCCACTTTCGCCCACTTTCCGCCCACTTTCGCCGCCCACTTTCGCCGGCGCCCACTTTCGGCGCCCACTTTCGGCGCCCACTTTCGCCGCCCACTTTCGGCGCCACTTTCGGCGCCCACTTTCGCCGCCCACTTTTTTTTTCGCCCTTTTCCGAAAGGGGCGTCGAAGTGGGCGGCGAAAGTGGGCGGCGAACGTGGGCGGCGAACGTGGGCGCGAAACGTGGGCGGCGAAAGTGGGCGGCGAAAGTGGGCGGCGAAAGTGGGCGCGAAAGTGGCGCGCGCGGGCGCCGAAAGTGGGCGGCGAAAAGTGGGCGGCGAAAGTGGGCGGCGAAAGTGGGCGGCGAAAGTGGGCGGCGAAAGTGGGCGGCGAAAGTGGGCGGCGAAAGTGGGCGGCGAAAGTGGGCGGCGAAAGTGGGCGGCGAAAGTGGGCGGCGAAAGTGGGCGGCGAAAGTGGGCGGCGAAAGTGGGCGGCGAAAGTGGGCGGCGAAAGTGGGCGGCGAAAGTGGGCGGCGAAAGTGGGCGGCGAAAGTGGGCGGCGAAAGTGGGCGGCGAAAGTGGGCGGCGAAAGTGGGCGGCGAAAGTGGGCGGCGAAAGTGGGCGGCGAAAGTGGGCGGCGAAAGTGGGCGGCGAAAGTGGGCGGCGAAAGTGGGCGGCGAAAGTGGGCGGCGAAAGTGGGCGGCGAAAGTGGGCGCCGAAAGTGGGCGGCGAAAGTGGGCGCCGAAAGTGGGCGGCGAAAGTGGGCGGCGAACGTGGGCGGCGAAAGTGGGCGCCGAAAGTGGGCGGCGGAAGTGGGCGTCGAAAGTGGGCGGCGAACGTGGGCTTGCTTGTCGTGAATCTGTCTCTTCCGTGTCGTGAAGCTGCTTGTCGCGAAACCATCCCGGCCATGAGAACCTCCAGAACGCTCCCGACAACGCAAAACATTCAGATGTCCAAGGGGAATCTTTGCTTTGTGACCACTTTCCAGGTTTTCCTTGCCGTTGCTTTTGATTGCTCTGCGACGGGGAGTCTTCAGCGGGTCACTCTGTATGCCACTCGCGCACGGGCGTGTGAGGCTGCTGGGCCGATTTGCCGGTGACCTCCGCCTGCGGATGGCATCGCCTCTGCTGACCAACAGCGTTTTGCTTTCGGACTGGCCAGCATCGGCCGAGGAGAGCGTTCCAGGGCCGCGTGAGCCGCAGATGCCAAGGATTACCGCGCCAAGCAGAGCCCCAAGACTGCAACAGACATTCAACAAGCTCCTTCCAGAGGCCCTCGAGACGTCCCCCAAACCGTGGCGGCGGAATTTGCCGTAAGCAGCAGCGAGGGAAAGAGGGCTTCGGACGCACAGCGTGAGGGATGGCGGATCGCAGAAAAGGAAGGAAAAATAAGGAAGCTGGAGAGGGAACTGAAGGGTTTGAGGGTAAGAGAACGGAGGATAAGCGGCGATTGGGATCTATCTCCTAACATACGTAGGGGCAAGCAGAGGGGACAGTTCTCGCTGAGTGTTCGAACGCTGTGTCATTCATAGCGCGCGTCTGGTTCGCACTCGTCTCTCCTGCACACTGTAGGACATAGCCGCAGCTTGCTAGAACCTCAGCGCGCGAAGCGCGCGCGTGGTTTTAGATTGTCGAATCTATGTTGATCGACCTATGCTACGCAATTTTTGGTGGAGCAAGCTATGTCGTGCAAGCTATGTCGTGCAAGCTATATGGTGCAATCTCTGTGGTACAATTGATTTTTACAAACGAATTGACACATTCCATGCTCTTGCAAACATTCCACCCACCCACCCACTACTTGGTTTGCAAAATTCATGCGGTGGCGATTACGATGCATGCTTGGCGTTGGCTGGTGCATCTCTGCGGCCGCGCCAACCTAAGCACGCGCGCGCAGCGGCCAGCTACTTTGGCGCGACCGACGCGGCCGCGGTGGCGCTGACCGCCGGGCACATCTCAGCGGGCGCTGCAATGCGAGTCGGCGACTTGGGCGGGCGCGGTATCATGGCAACGTCGGCGACGGTAGACACGATGATGATGATAACGCGGCTGGTGGCGATGTTGACAATCACGACGGCGCGGCAAGTGCGGGCGCCGATGTTGATCACGCCGACGACGATGACGGTGTCCTCGCATCGGCGCTGAAGGTTTTGGACAAAGTTCGACGTGCGCGCGCGGCTGACGCGCGAGAGTGCCCCGCATGGAGTTATTTGACGCGGATCGTTCTCCCCCAGCATTCGAGCGAAGGGCGTGCGAATGATGTCGGCACGCGCACCGTTTGGCAGATTTCAATGACATGATTGAACAACCTATGTTTGTGGGAAGAATTCGCAGCAGCGCGAGCGCACGCATTTTTTGAAAATGGATGTCGCGAAATTAAGTGTTTTATGTATTTTTGGACACCATTTGGTTTCGACATCGTTACGAAATCGGGGTATTTGACTGATTTCGGCATGCACGCGCGAAGACGCGTGCGTGTGTGCAGTTCTTTTAATTCTTCCCAACCCTCCTGCGTTGGGTACTCGTTTTGAATAGAGCACTGCGGTCTCCTCCTTCCTTCCTTCCTTCCTTCCTTCCTTCCTTCCTTCCTTCCCGCCTCCTCCTCTCTTCTCTTGCTCTTACCCCTGGGGGGCTGCGATCTGCGGAACTGTCGCCGCTTTCGAGGGCTGCTGGTGGGTCCAGCGGAGTGAGGCACCACGGGGACTCAGCTTAGACCTCGCCATCCCTGGGGGGGGGGGGCTGCGATCTGTGAAACTGTCGCCACTTTCGAGGGCTGCTGGTGGGTCCAGCGGAGTGAGGCACCACGGGGGCTCATATTAGACCTCGCCATCTCTGGGGGGCTGCGATCTGTGAAACTGTCGCCACTTTCGAGGGCTGCTGGTGGGTCCAGCGGAGTGAGGCACCACGGGGACTCAGATTAGACCTCGCCATCTCTGGGGGGCTGCGATCTGTGAAATTGTCGCCACTTTCGAGGGCTGCTGGTGGGTCCAGCGGAGTGAGGCACCACGGGGACTCAGATTAGACCTCGCCATCTCTGGGGGGCTGCGATCTGTGAAACTGTCGCCACTTTCGAAGGTTGCTGGTGGGTCCAGCGGAGTGAGGCACCACGGGGACTCAGATTAGACCTCGCCATCCCTGTGTGAAACTGTCGCCACTTTCGAGGCTGCTGGTGGGTCCAGCGGAGTGAGGCACCACGGGGACTCAGATTAGACCTCGCCACCCCTGGGCGGCTGCGATCTGTGAAACTGTCGCCACTTTCGAGGGCTGCTGGTGGGTGGCCAGCGGAGTGAGGCACCACGGGGACTCAGATTCTGACCACGAGCAATGCTCGCGTGCCCTTGCTCTGCGGTTCGTGCCACGTGGCGCTGCGACTCGAGCTGGCGGTCGTCCTTCGGACCCGCAGAAACATCTGCTGAGCTCGATGAGCTAGGGGAACTACAGGAAAGAAGTGCAGGAAACGGAGGCCGGTCATGCACTCGCCGATACCTCGTTGCTCTGTCATCGTCTTTGCTGTTGCATGATCCTTATCTGGCCTGCCGGCGCCGCGGCTCGAGCTGGCGGTCGCCCTTCGGGCCCGCGGGAACATCTTCTGAGACAAGTGGACGCCGCCGCCTTACTTGCAGGCAGCGCATTGCATTCGCGGACAGCAGCATGGCAGACCGCAGTGAGATCCTCAGTCGCGTGGTGTTGCCAAGCCTGGTGGAGACGCGCGTGATCGACCTGAAGTCCCAATCGCGCGTGCACTGTACCTGCGTGGCGTTCAGGCACGCGCGTGATGCTGCTCGCTCCGCGTTCAACCAGTACGTCGCCAGTGCAACTTTGGACGATGGACAACCGATTGATGATGCGCGACCCCGGCCTTGAGTTTCTTTCCCGCGGGCCGCCCGCAGACCTGGCGGCGCGCCTGCGAGCGTTCAGCTCCCGCGCTGAAATGTGCGGGAAGGAGGCGGAGAAGCTAGCGGGCGAGCTACGCCTCGCTCGTTCCTTGCACTCTAAACAAGTTTTATCATGTGGAACTCTGCGACGACATGGCGCAGGCAGCGCTGCGGGTTTAGCTCGCACTTGAAAAACGCGGCAGTCTTCTGTCTCCTCCCGCCACTTTCATCGTCGTCCTATTCCCCGCCTCACCTTCTCCATGCATGCTGCTGCTTCCGCGATGGCCTTTCGCCCCCCCCGCCCTCCATTCCATCCCTCTCCTACCCCTCGTTCCCGTACCCGTTCTTCTTCGATCCTGGGGCCTCAAGCCTCGTTCTTTCGATCGTCGTCCTGTGAATCGTGCAGCGCATGCGCATCCCATGTAGCTTGCACAGCAAATCGCCGCGTCTACACTGTCGTTGTTCCTGCTAGTGTTGGCATATTCCTCTTGCCATTTGATGCGCGTGGGTTGGGTACGTCGCAGGGTAATGTGTACATGATTCTCGCGACGGCACGCGCGCAGCGGCGTTCGAACGATTTCGTCATGCGCGCGCGGACCCCGTTTGAACATATTTTTTGAACATGCTGAGAAGCCGGTATAAGTGTATACATATCTATATGCATGTATGCATGCTTATACATCATTATATATGATTGTACATATAAATGTGTGATTTTTGAATATATATAATGCCATATGTGTACATGTATGTGTGTATCATACAGGCATACACATCTCTATACATATATGTGTGAACATACATAGATATATACAAATATGTTTATGCATATACATATACACATACACATACACACACATATATATATATTATATATATATATATATATATATATATCCTATATATTCCTGCGCCCGAGGCGGGGGGGCCCTGGAAGGGCCCCCCGACAGTCCATGGGGGGACCGGGCCGCCAGGGACGCCCCCAGACGGCCCGATACAGCCCCAACACAGCTGAAAAGTGCCGCGGGAGGCCTCCAAGAGGCCTACAGTCGCGGAGATACCGTTCTAACACGCCAAAGATGGCCTTTGGATGGTCCGAAAGGCTTCCACACGACCCAAGGAACTCCCAAGAGTACTCCCAAAAAGGGCCCCAAGAAGCCAAACTCATTGATTATCCTTAGGTTTTTGGTATATGTTAGCGTTTCTGCATGTTCGGCTTTCTGACGCTCCAAGACGGTCCCAAAGGTCACAAATATCGCCCCGACACGGCCTCAGAGGCCCCCATGAGGGCCCCAAGAACGCTTCAAGAGGGACCCCAGAGGGGGAACACGAACCGACATTTCGACGAGTTGTCCGCCCCTTGAGGCCCCCAAGAGGTCCCAAGCGGCTCAGGAAGCCCCAGGAGGCCGCCAAGAGGCGTCCCAAAGCTCCCCCCCAGACGTCCTGAGACACTCCTGCCGATCCTCAACGCCGTCTCATCACCGAGTGCCAGTTGCATCCCATGTCCGGCTCACCCGCCCGACTGCTTCTTTCGCGCGTCGTCGTCGTCGTCGTCGTCGTCGTTGTCTTTGTCGTCGTCGTCGTCGTCAGTGGTGGGACCATTTGGAGGGCTTGATGAGCGTCTGGCATTGATGTTTTAGCGATTCGGTGCCTTTTTGGGCCTGTCCTGCAAGTCTCCTGTGGCGTCTTTGGGGCCTCTTCGGGCAGTGTGGCGCCTTGGCGGGGGCCTCTGAAACCGTCTTGGGGCGAGTTTTCGCCCTTCAGGCCGGAAAGGTTGACCCCAACAGAAGCAGCCAAGATTTTACGTGAAACCAAACAATTGTTCAGGACAGCGCTCCAGGACTGATCATTCAAGTGCCGTGTGGGATTCTCACTGCTGAAGTAGTTGTGTGGCTTTTCTGCAGCCCAGGGCAGCAGCATTTTTCATGCGGACTGCAGACCAAGGTCATGTACAGCGCTGGCCGTTGCATTCCTTGCACGTTCCGTTACAAACGAGAAGACAGGAGCTCCGCGGCAGGCAGCATCGCAGCATCGCCTCTTCTGGGGGGCGTCGTGGAGCCCTCTTGGAGCCTCTGGGGGCCATCTGGGCCGTCGGGAAGCCTGCGTGGAACGTCTTGGGAGCGTGGTGGGCCATCTGGAGGCGATCACGGGCGTTCGTGGTGATTCTCCGGCGGTTCGGGGGCGAGCCGGGGCTCTCTGGGCATGTAGGGGGCCTGCAGACGCCCCAAGACGGCCCCAAGAGGAGGCCAACAGGGGTAGCACGAAGCGAACATCCGAGCCTTTCACCCCGCGAGGCTCTCAGGAGGCCCCGAGAAGCCCCCAACAGGCCCTGAGAAGCGCCCCGAGGGGCCGAAGAAGTTCCAAGAGGCCTCCCGCGAAGGCCCCAAGAGGCAAAAGTCATTGTCTCGCTAAAGGTTTTTGATGGGTTTTCGAGGTTTCAGCCTTTGGGCGTCCCGACGCTCCAAGACTGACCCAAAGGTCTCCAATACCGTTCCAAGATAGCTCAAGATACCTCCAACAGGGCCCAAAGACGGCCCACGAGGGCCCCAAGAGGGTGCCTAGAAGGTCCCAAGAGGGGCCCAAGAGGGGTAAGACGAACCGAAAATCCGAGCCTTCCACCCCGAGTGGCTCTCAGGAAGCCCCAAGAGGCCCCCAATAGGATCCAAGAGGCCCTGAAGAAGCTCCCCACAGTGCCGAAGAGGTTCCAAGAGGCCTCCCAAGAAGGCCCGAATAGGCACAATTCATTGTTCTCCCATTGGATTTAGATGTATTTTAAAGTTTTCAGCCTTTTGGCATCCCGACGCTCCAAGACGGTCCAAGAGGCCCCCAAGACCGCTCCACGATAGCCGAAGTGGCCTCCAAGAGGGCCCCAAGACAGCCCACGAGGGCCCCAAGATGGTGCCCGAGGGGCCCAAGACAGCCCGAGGGGGTCAAAGAGAGACCCAAGAAGTGGAACGCGAACCCAGGAGCAGAGCCTTCCGCCCTAAGAGGCCTACAGGAGGCCCCAAGAGTTCCCAAGTGGTCCGACGAGGCCCGTGAAAGCTTCCCAAGAGGCCCCAAAAGGTGCCCAGGAGACGTACGAGGGGCCCCAAGATAGCCGAACAGTGCCATCGATGCACCAAAATTGCCTCGAGGAGGCCCCCGGGAGGCTGCCAGATAGCCTCAATGTGGCCCCAGGCGGCCTCAGGTCGGGCCTCCACGCAGCCAAGACGGCCAATGACGGCTTCAGATTGCAGAACATCACCTTCCGTCTGCCCGGATCACCCTGACGATGCCCCCAAGGGATTTCAAGAAGCCCCAAGACGCCCCGCAAGAAGCACCCAAGAGGTGCCTCCAACAGCCAATTGAGGAAGCACGGAGAAGCCCCAAGAAGCCCTTCAGATGCCCCCACGAAGACCCACGAGGTTCCCAAAAGGCCCTCAGGAGGCACGACTATGTCACGCGCCTGTGCTTGATAGCGCTGTCCAAGATCTCAGCGTCCCCCTCGGCCTGGGCTAGAACCTGAGCGCGCACGAAGCGCGTGCGATGGTTCTAGTATATCTCTCTCTCTCTCTCTCTACATATGTGTGTATGTACGTAATGTAATATATTGTAATACAGTGTAATGCATTGTAATGAAGTGCAATGTAATGTAAGGTGAGATATTGTGTTGTATTGTACTGCAATGTCTCGTATTAGCCCCATATTTATGTATGTATGTATGTATGTATGTATGTATATATGTATGTCTCTATGTATGTATGTATGTATGTATGTATGTGTATGTATGTATGTATGTATGTATGTATGTATGTGTGCATACATGTATGTATGTACATATTTATGTAGGTATGTATGTCTATATGTAGGTATGTATGTATGCATGCATGTATGCATGTTTGTTTGTATGTATGTATGCACCTATGCATGCATGCATGTATGTATGTATGGATGTCTGAATGCATGTATGTATGTACGTACGTATGTATGTATGTATGTATGTATATGCGTGTATGTATGTATTGGTGTGTGCATATATATGTATGTATATATGCATGTATGTTTGCATGTTGCATCTATGTGTGCATATACATGGGTGTTCTACATACGCACACATATATGTATGTATGTATGTATATATGTATGCATGCATGTATGTATGCATGTATGTATGTATATGTATATGTATATATGTATGTAAGTATTCATGTATGTATGCATGTATGTATGCATGTATGTATGCACGTATGTATGCATGTATGTATGTATGTATGTGTATGTATATGTATATGTATATATATATATATATATATATATGTATATGTATATGTATATGTATATGTTTATGTATATGTATATGTATATGTATATGTATATGTATATGTATATGTATATGTATGTATGTATATATTTGTATATATATGTATATGTATATATGTATATATGTAGGTATGTATGTATGTATGCATGCATGTATGCATGCATGCATGTATGTATGTATGTATGTATGTATGTATGTATTTATGTATACGTATGTATGTATATGTATGTATGTATGTATGTATGTATGTATGCATGCATGCATGCATGCATGTATGTATGTATGTATGTATGTATGTATGTATGTATGTGTATATATATATATATATATATGTACATACACGCGGCCCCTAAACAGGTGCGACCCCCCATGGGAGGACCAGGGGTTTTCCGACACTCCAAGACTGCCCAAGAAGCGCCCAAGATCGTCCCGAGACAGCCCGAGAGGCCCTCAAGAGGGCCCCAAGAGGCCCCCAAGACGGTCCCAGACAGCCCAAGAGGCGCCCAAGACGGCTCCAGAGAGCCCCAAGATGGCCCCTAGACGGCCCCAGAGGCGCCCAAGACGGCCCAAGAGACCCTTGAGACGGGCCAGGAGGCGCCCGAGACGGCCACATGCGGGCCCCAAAAAGGCCCGCAAGAGGCGCCAAGAGGCCCCCAAGCCTAAACAGGCACAAGCAACGCCCAGCGAGGTGTCAAATTCGCTTGCGAGTGACCCCCCAGAGATTTCCCACGAGACTTCGAAAACGTCCCTCAATGAGGGCAAGCCTCTGGAGGCCACAGGAGGGTCGACATCACGACGACGGCGGCGGCGGCGGCGGTGGGCTCCTCGCTCCTGCTCGGTCCACCTGGGGCGACAGTGCCACCGACGCGCGCGCGCCCCGGAAGATCTCACAAGGACCAATTCAGACAAAGCGACCCAGATCCGATAACATTTGGGTCCCAAATTGTTCCTGGGTTCAGCACGCACCAGCTGGCCGAGTCGCATCCCGCCAGCTGGCCCGGGGCCCGGGGCCCCGGGTCCGAAGGCCAGAATGCCCCCGGATGGTCCACCAGGGCGCCGAGGCAGTCCCGCGAACTGTCCCTCGGAACATTTTCTCGCAACAGGGCCGTTGATCTCACGAGGACGACGAGGACGAGGACGGCTCCACTGGCTGTGTTCGTCAGAGCTCCGATGGCTGACAGCAGCAGCTAGAGGGCAGAAGGCGAGGAGGGCAGCCAGGCAAGAGGGCAGGAGTCCGGTGTTCCGCTCCCAGGCATGCGATATTGTCATTAAGCCAGATCTCGGAACCTGGAAGTCTGGACCCTTTCCCCGGAACCTAAACTGTCATCGCGATTCGCTCTTTGACGGTCCTGGGGCCCTGCAGGGGCTCCCAGGAGCCAGAAGATGCCACGAGCCTCCGGCCCTGACTTTTTGGAGCGACACGAGCATGTCTGGGCTGCGGAGGAGGAGGAGGAGGAGGAGGAGGAGGAGGAGGAGGAGGAGGAGGAGGAGGAGGAGGAGGAGGAGGAGGAGGAGGAGGAGGAGGAGGAGGGAGGAGGAGGAGGAGGAGGAGGAGGAGGAGGAGGAGGCCCTTCGGCCCCTTCTTCCTCGTCGGCTGGTCCCGTTCGGCCCTCGGGCCCCCCGCTGCCCGAGGCAACCCACGAGGTCCTTTGAATATCGCCCGAGGGGCCCCACAGGGAGCTCCACCGAAGGCCCCAGTGGCTGCTCTCGCGTGCGGTTCCCCCCACCCAGGGCAGCGTTTCGTGGCCCCACAGGGAGCTCCACCGAAGGCCCCAGTGGCTGCTCTCGCGTGCGGTCCCCCCCACCCAGGGCAGCGTTTCGTGGCCCCACAGGGAGCTCCACCGAAGGCCCCAGTGGCTGCTCTCGCGTGCGGTCCCCCCCACCCTGGGCAGCGTTTAGTGGCCCCACAGGGAGCTCCACCGAAGGCCCCAGTGGCTGCTCTCGCGTGCGGTCCCCCGCCCAGGGCCAGCGTTTCGTGGCCCCAAAGGGAGCTCCACCGAAGGCCCCAGTGGCTGCTCTCGCGTGCGGTCCCCCCCACCCTGGGCAGGTTTTCGTGGCCCACAGGGAGTCCTCGAAGGCCCAGTGGCTGCTCTCGCGTGCTGACCCCCCGACCCTGGGCCACGTTTTTCGTGGCCCCACAGGGAGCTCCACCGAAGGCCCCAGTGGCTGCTCTCGCGTGCGGTCCCCCCCACCCTGGGCAGCGTTTCGTGGCCCCACAGGGAGCTCCACCGAAGGCCCCAGTGGCTGCTCTCGCGTGCGGTCCCCCCCGCCCAGGGCAGCGTTTCGTGGCCCCGCAGGGAGCTCCACCGAAGGCCCCAGTGGCTGCTCTCGCGTGCGGTCCGCCCCACCCAGGGCAGCGTTTCGTGGCCCCACAGGGAGCTCCACCGAAGGCCCCAGTGGCTGCTCTCGCGTGCGGTTCCCCCCGCCCAGGGCAGAGTTTCGTGACCTCACAGGGCGCTCCACCGAAGGCCCAGTGGCTGCTCTCGCGTGCGGGCCCTCCCCCCCCCACCCAGGGCAGCGCTCCGTGGCCCCATAGGGAGCTCCACCGAAGGCCCCAGTGGCTGCTCTCGCATGCGGTTCCCCCACCCAGGGCAGCGTTTCGTGGCCCCATAGGGAGCTCCACCGAAGGCCCAAGTGGGGGTGTCCACATGCGGTTCCCCCACCCAGGGCAGCTGTTTCGTAGCCCCAGAGGGAGCTCCACCGAAGGCCCCAGTGGGGGTGTCCACATGCGGTTCCCCCACCCAGGGCAGCGTTTCGTAGCCCCAGAAGGGGCTCCACCGATCGTGTAATAATACAGTGGCTGCTCTCGTGTGCGGTCCCCCCGGGTCCCCCACCCAGGGCAGCGTTTCGTGGCCCCATAGGGAGCTCCACCGAAGGCCCCAGTGGGGGTGTTCGCATGCGGTTCCCCCACCCAGGGCAGCGTTTCGTGGCCCCATAGGGAGCTCCACCGAAGGCCCCAGTGGGGGTGTCCACATGCGGTTCCCCCACCCAGGGCAGCGTTTAGTGGCCCCATAGGGAGCTCCACCGAAGGCCCCAGTGGGGGTGTCCACATGCGGTTCCCCCACCCAGGGCAGCGTTTCGTAGCCCCATAGGGAGCTCCACCGTAGGCCCCAGTTGCTGCTCTCGCGGTGCGGCCACCCCCCCCACCAGGGCAGCGTTTCGTTGTGGCCACAGGGAGCTCCACCGAAGGCCCCAGTGGCTGCTCTCGCGTGCGGTTCCCCCCACCCAGGGCAGCGTTTCGTGGCCCCACAGGGAGCTCCACCGAAGGCCCCAGTGGCTGCTCTCGCGTGCGGTCCCCCCCACCCAGGGCAGCGTTTCGTGGCCCCACAGGGAGCTCCACCGAAGGCCCCAGTGGCTGCTCTCGCGTGCGGTCCCCCCCACCCTGGGCAGCGTTTAGTGGCCCCACAGGGAGCTCCACCGAAGGCCCCAGTGGCTGCTCTCGCGTGCGGTTCCCCCCACCCAGGGCAGCGTTTCGTGGCCCCACAGGGAGCTCCACCGAAGGCCCCAGTGGCTGCTCTCGCGTGCGGTCCCCCCCACCCAGGGCAGCGTTTCGTGGCCCCACAGGGAGCTCCACCGAAGGCCCCAGTGGCTGCTCTCGGTGCGCCCCCCACCCCCCACCAGGGCAGCGTTCTCGTGGCCCCCATGGGACGCTCCACCGAAGGCTCCAGTGGCTGCTTCTTCGCGTGCGCCCCCCCTCCATGGGATGCGCTTCGTCTGGCCTCACACGGAGCTCCACCGAGGCCCAGGTGGCGCTCCGCCGTGCGGGGGGGGTCCCCCCGCCAGGGCAGCGCTTTCGTGGCACCAAGGGGAGGTCACCGAAGGCCCCGTGCTGCCGTCGCGTGCGGCCCCCCACCACAGGGCAGCGTTTCGTGGCCCCACAGGGGGCTCCACCGAAGGCCCCAGTGGCTGCTCTCGCGTGCGGCCCCCCCGCCCAGGGCAGCGTTTCGTGGCCCCACAGGGAGCTCCACCGAAGGCCCCAGTGGCTGCTCTCGCGTGCGGTCCCCCCCACCCACGGCAGCGTTTCGTGGCCCCACAGGAGCCAGGATGACCCTGAGACGTCACCGGCATCCTATGTTTTCACCCCCGCCCAGGCCCCAGGGCAGCGTTTCGTGGCCCCATAGGGAGCTCCACCGAAGGCCCCAGTGGGGGTGTCCACATGCGGTTCCCCCACCCAGGGCAACGTTTCGTGGCCCCATAGGGAGCTCCACCGAAGGCCCCAGTGGGGGTGTCCACATGCGGTTCCCCCACCCAGGGCAGCGTTTCGTTGCCCCATAGGGAGCTCCACCGAAGGGCCCAGTGGGGGTGTCCACATGCGGTTCCCCCACCCAGGGCAGCGTTTCGTGTAGGGTGGTGTGGCTCCACCGAAGGGCCCAGCGCTGCCTCTCGCGTGCGGCCCCCCCCGCCCAGGGCACCAGCGTTTCGTGGCCCCACAGGGAGCTCCACCGAAGGCCCCAGTGGCTGCTCTCGCCGTGCGGTCCCCCCACCCACGGCAGCGTTTCGTGGCCCCACAGGGAGTTCACGAAGGCCATGTGGTGCTCTTCGCGTGCGGTCCCGCCCCCTGGGCAGCGTTTCGTGGCCCCACAGGGGAGCTCCACCGAAGGCCCCAGTGGCTGCTCTCGCGTGCGGCCCCCCCGCCCAGGGCAGCGTTTCGTGGCCCCACAGGGAGCTCCACCGAAGGCCCCAGTGGCTGCTCTCGCGTGCGGTCCCCCCGGCCCCACCCAGGACAGCGTTTCGTGGCCCCACAGGGAGCTCCACCGAAGGCCCCAGTGGCTGCTCTCGCGTGCGGTTCCCCCGCCCCCACCCAGAGCAGCGTTCCGTGGCCCCACAGGGAGCTCCACCGAAGGCCCCAGTGGCTGCTCTCGCGTGCGGTCCCCCCACCCAGGGCAGCGTTTCGTGGCCCCCCATAGGGAGCTCCACCGAAGGCCCCAGTGGCGCACAGTTCGCATGCGGTTCCCCCACCCAAGGCAGCGTTTCGTGGCCCCATAGGGAGCCCCACCGAAAACGGCACCCACAACGCGTTACGAACAATTGTTTTATGGTTGGGTCGTTCGCCAGGATAAGTTGAGGACGTCTCTGCTTTGAATTTCTCGGCCAGAGTTTCTATCACAACAGCACCCCGCTCAGCAAGCTGTTTGGGGAATGATGTAGATGGCGATTGCGAGGACGGTGATGATGATGATGATAATGTTGATGATAAGAAAGATGCTGATGATGAGCATGATTTTGAGGTTGAATCAGTTGTGTCCGAGAAGCCCGCCCTAAAGACAGCCAGTTCGGGAGTGTTCCTGATCAATGTGGAATGCTTGGCAGTGCGGTACTATTTTGCGAGCCTAAACTTTGAGCTGCAGTGGGCAAGCCCCCTCGGGGTACTCGCCGCCTCCGATCCCGCCGCCGAACTAGAATAGGTGGCGAGCGGGGTTCGCGAGGCGGTGGAGTCAGCACTAGATGCGAGCGTGATGCGCAGACTTTCTGGTTTCAGTAGAGGTGATGCAGTTTCCCTCCCAGGGCCCTCCCTGGTGGTATCAAGCAGGGCGTTGGATCAATTCCCAATGGAGTTGGCTTTCGTTCGCATGCGATGGTCGGCTCTAACGCTGCAAAGCCATGCGTGTCATTAGGTTCGCGAGCGAGGGTTGGCTATTCAGAGCCGAATGTTTGTATCATCTGATTTCTCCCCCTTGGCACTTTTCCTGAATTGGGTTTGAGATGGAGCTTGGTTGATATCATGCAGGGAGCCGGCTATTCATGCGTGGGACTGAAGATGCTTGAGGTGAGTGTGGCTTTGGTCAGATCGCGATCTGTTGAAGAGGTGAAGGCTGCAGTTGAGATTGTCTCCCTGTTTAAACCACTGGGCTTTCGCCCTTCCCCGCCTTGCTCGGCTTTGATTAGCTTTCTCTCCCCGGCCCTAGGGGGCTGTGGTGTGGGGTGGGTTGGCGGGTCTTTCACGACCGTCTAGGCACTGCTGGTACATCATGAATGAATGAGATTTCGAATGGGTAATAATGTATAGAGCCTGGTCACTGAAGCATGCAGCAGCCCGAGTCTCTCTGCAGCCTTTTCGGGCCCATCCCCCCCCGCCCTGATTTCGTGGGGCACTTTTCCTGAATGGGTGTAAGATGGAGCTTGATTGATGCCGTTCAGGGGGCCGGCTACTCACACGTGGGACTGAAGATATTCGAGGTGAGTATGGTGTTGGTCATATCGTGATCTGTTGGAAAGGTGAGGGCTGCAGTTGGTATTGTCTCAGTCTTTTAATCCAACGGGCTTTCGCCCTTCCCCGCCTTGCTCGGCTTTGATTAGCTTTCTCTCCCCGGCCCTGGGGGGCTGTGGTGTGGGGTGGGTTGGCGGGTTTTTGACTAGCGTCTAGGCGCTGCTGGTACATTAATCCAATGGGCTTTGTCTACCTTTCTCTCTCCGTCCCTAAGGGTGCTGTGGTGGGGGGTAGGTGGGCGGATCCTTGAGTAGTGTCTAGGCATTGTTGGTACACTATGTATGTATGTATGTATATATATATATATATATTTGTATGTGTGTATTTAGATGTGTATGTATCTGTGTATGTGTATGTCTGTGCATTTGTTTTGGTATACGTGTATGTGTATGTGTATGTGTATATGTATGTGTATGTGTATGTCAGCGCATTTGTCTATGCATATGTATATGTATAGGTGTATATATATATGCACAGATATAGGTATTTTGTACGTGCATGCATATATATATATATAAAAGAATGTATATGTTCGTGTATGTGCATATGTATGCGTATGCGTATTTGTACCTGTACTTGTACGTGTATGTGTATACGTATATGCATGTATATATGTATGGGTTTGCGTATTTTGTGTGTCTGTGTCTGTGTCTGTGCATGTGAATGTGTATGTGTTTTAGTATATGTCTGTGTCAGTGTATCTGTCAGTGTATGTGTATGTGTATGTGTATGTGTATGTGTATATGTATGTGTATGTGTATGTGTATGTTTATATGTATGTATGTCTGTATGCTCATGCAGGTATGTACATGTATATGTATATGTACATGTATATGTATATGTCTATGTCTATATGCATGTCTATGCATATGCCTATGCACATGTACATGTCTATGCATATGTCTATGCATATGTATATGTATATGTATATGTATATGTGTATGTATATGTATACGTATATGTATATGTATATGTGTAGGTATCTGTATATGTAAATGAATATGTAAATGTATATGTGCATGTATATGTATATGTATACGTACATGTATATGTATGTGTATATGCATATGTATATGTATAGGTATATGTAGAGGTAGTTGTACTTGTGTATGCATATGTATATGTATCTGTACATGTATATGTACATGGTGTATATATATACATATATGTGTATGCATAGGTATATTTATATGTATGTGTATATGTTTATGCATATGTCAACGTATATGTAAATGTACATGTTTATACTTATGTACATGAATATGTATATGTATATTATATGTATATGTTTGTGTATATGTATACGTTTATGTATATGTATATGTATATGTATATGTACATGTATATTTCTTCGTTTATGTGTATATATATATATAGAGGCATATGTATATGTATATGTATTTGCGTATGTGTATGCAGAGGTATATGTGTATATATAGGTGTATGTATACGTACATGTATATGTATTTGTGTATGTATATGTATATGTATATGTATATGTATATGTAGATGCATATGCATATGTATATATATGTACATGCATAGGTATATGTATATGTATATGTATATGTATGTGTATGATTATATGTATCTGTGTATGTTTATATACATATATTATACTCGCTTCCAGTTCCCGGTCTCTGGCTTCTGCATTGTGCGGCTTCAGGCCTTCCCGGGTACGTGCATCAAGCTTTCAAATTGCTTCCAGGCGGCCCGAGGTCGCTGAACTATGGTTCCAAGCCGCCCAAGGGGGTTTCAAGACAAGACGGCCCAAGAGGCCCCCAAGACGCCCCAAGAGGCCCCCAAGAGGACTCCCAAGAGGGCCTCAATAGGCAAAACTAGTCGGATTCACTTTTGGAAAACATGACATGTTAAATGATATATGTTTCTGAAGTTTTCAGAGCACGGCCCGCGACGCCTCTAAGATCGCCTCAAGACGGCCCAAGAGGCTCCCTACAGGGCTCCAAGACGGCTCAAAAGAGATTCAAAAGGCCCAACAGGCCCCCAAGACAGCCCATGAAGGCCCCAGGACGGCCCCAAGAGGGGGCCCAGAGGGGGTACCCGAACGGATACTTCAAGCCTTCGGCCCCAAGACGCCCCCAGGAGGCTCCAGGAAACCACCAAAAAGTTCCCAAGATGTCCCAAGAGGCCCCGAATAGGCCCCCAGCGAGCCCCAAGAGGGCCCAAGAGGTCCCCAAGAAGCACGGAGGGAAAACTGCCTTGAAACAGCATGCGCGCGCTGTCACGCCAGGTGGCGGAGCACGTGCAGGAGGGACGAAGAAGGACAGAGACAGGAGGCATAAGGATACATGGAGGAAAACAGGGACTCTCTTGAGACGTCTCGGGGTCATCCTGGGAGGTGCCCGGACCGTGTTCGTGTTGTCTCCTCACGCTGTGATCGCAGACGAGCCATGTTGAGGCATCTTGGGGCCTAGGTCTCTTTCGAAGTCTCTCGGACCCCGGTTAGGGGGCCTTTTTGGGGTCTCCTGGAGGCTTGCTGGAGACCTCCTGAGGTCTCTTGGGGGTCTCTTTGTGTTTTCTTTTGGGCTTCCCGGGGGCCTCTTGGGGCCTATCCCGTTGGGCGCCTACAGGCGGCCTCGGGGGTCATCTTTGGGCAAAGGGCTCCAAATTGCAGTTCGTCTTCCCCCTCCATCCTGGGGCTCTCTTAGGCCACCTTGCGCATGCATTGAAACATCACGGCTCTCTTCGATCTTCTTGCCATAGCTCCGCCACATGGCGTGACAGCGCGCGCGTTGTGTCTTAAGGCAGTTTGCTCTCCGTCCTCTGGCATTTTACTGTTCCTTGTGCACGTGTGCTGCCAGCTGGCGCGGCAGCGCGTGCATTCTATTTCAGGGAAGTTGTTGTCAGATCCTCCGTCATTCCTCGCGCCTCCCGTACATGCTCGGCCAGACAGGCCAAGAAAATGTGACGACATCCAAAGACCAGCAAACTACGGCCTCGACAGTTTATCAGGAAGCCAATCAATGCCCCAAGCCTGTTCAGCGATCTCGCCGACGAGTCCGCAAGCCAAGACCTGCGTGTCGTGACAACAAAGAAGCAACCCTGGACGACGCCATTGGGGCCCAAGACACCTGCCTCCCCCCACAAGACAGCGCCTGAACAGCCCGAAAGCCAGTCCAAGGAAGCCTTGCGACATCCCATAACTGGCCCAAGACGGTCACAACCCTCCTCCGACTGCGAGCCGCCCAGAATTCCCGATGTTCGTGTCATCACAGCGCCATTGGGTGGACTAGAACCTAAGCGCGCGCGGTTATATTATATATATGTATGTAACATATATTCACACATAGATCGGCAGAATTGTGGGAACCATACTTAGCCCGAGCGTGGCTCGGGCTTGGTCACGCATCGCAAGCAGTGGTGCTGCCATTCCGGCTGACCACCCGCGCCCGCTGCCTCCCATTTGTTGCCATCGCGGATGCCAGGGCGGTGGTCATTGATATTGATGCCCTCCTCCTCCTCCTCCTCCTCCTCCTCCGCTAACCGCTACGCTCCGCGGCCAGGGCGGACGCCTAATTAATATCGCAGTGTCTCTGCAGTGGGTATCGGTTTTAGTACGAGCGTGGCCCAGGCGTGTGCATTGGTCAGAGCACCGCAGAAGAGGTGGCGCTGCTATTCCAGCTGACCAGCCTCGCCCGCCGTCTCGGATCTCCCCCTCTCCCTGTGCCGATGCCATGAGACAGTTTTTCGTTGCCTCTTGGTGATCATGGGCGTGACCGAGGGGGGGGAGGCGGGGGGGGGCCGGTCACGTCACGATTCGCGCCGGTGCCGTCTGACAGTATTTTGCGATGGCTAATTCCTACACGGCGCCGGCGCGAATCGTGACGTGACCAGGGGGGGAGGGATGTTTGGGGGCGGGGCCTGTCACGGGCGTCATCGCGAGCAACAAAAAACGGGCTCCATCAAGACGACCATGGCCAGTTAATCGATACCCCACACTGCATGCAAAATTGATCTATAGTGGGCATCGTGTTTAGTCCGAGCGTGGCTGTGGCGTCTGTACATGGATATATATATATACATATATACACGTGAATGTATATGTATTTGTATATGTATATGTGCATTTGTGTACATATACGTTTACGCATCTGTACATGTTTATGTACATGTAGGTGTATGTGAATGTGTTTGTGTACGTCTACTTGTATGTGTATAGTGTATGTATATGAGTATACTTGTGTACATGTATATGTATATGCTTATGCATACAAACATATTTATTCATTTGTTGGTTCAACTATGTAAGTGTTTGTTCGGCAATGCTTTTTTTGTATTCATTTGTGTATTCGTTTTTTATTGGTGGTATTTCATTTGTTTTTTTTTTAATATTTATTATTGGCGGTATTTTCGAAGTCATGTAGTCATGTATTTATCAATATGGTTATGCTTTGAGTTATCTACTGATTGATTTATGTGTGCATGTATGTGTTCATGCAGTTGTTTATTTGTTTTTTTTTTTTTTTTTTTTTTTTTTTTTTTCTGTGTTAGATGTTTGTTATTACATGTTGTGCTGGTGTATGTATATATGCATGTTTTTTTTGAATGCATGCATATATATATATATATATAGGTATGTATGCATGCATGTATGCATGCATGCATGCATGTCATTTATGTATGTATGTATTGTATTGTATCGCATTGCATTGCATTGCATTGCATTGCATTGTATGGTATGGTATTGTACTGTATTGTGTTGTATGTATGTATGCATGCATGCATGCACACAGGCATACATGCATGCACGTCTGTATACATGTATGCATGTATGTATCTCTAAAAGTGTGTATTTCTGTACATGTACACATCTATAGATATGCATATATATATATATATACATACATCCATACATACATACATGCATGCATGCATGCATGCATGCATACATACATACACACATGTATATATATATATATATATATATATACAGGCCCGCGGCCCCCAAACACGTGCCCCGACTCTCCATCGGTGGACCGGGGGGCTCCGGGGGCCCCGCCGGGGCGCCAGGGGCTCCCCAGGACTGCCCGAGCACGGCCCCCGGATCGCCCAAGATGGCGCTTCCGGACCGCGAGAACGACCACTGACGGCCAGAGATCACCCCAACATACTTGTACTATATGTGCGTCGCCCTCCCAGGGGCGACGCGCGCACCGAGAAATCTTATAGTATATGCGTCGTGGCGGGCGCTTTGTGTCCACACCGCCCAGGAAAACGATGTACTACAAGATGGGTATACTACATGTTCAAGTCGGACGCGCGCCTCCAAGGAGGACATATAGTATTAGTATGTCCCTGTGCGTCCCATGACGGCCAGAGATCACCCCAGTAGTCTAGACGCTTCGCGTACCCCACCGGCCAGGGTTTCAGCTGCCCGCTGTGCCCTGCCCTTCGCCGTCCGGTCTGCCGGGTGCTGGCGCCACTGTGCGACGCCCCGCTGTCAGTCGTCGGCTGCCGTTCTGGGTCGGCTTGATGAGGTTCATTTTGTTCCTCGCATGTGCATTCCGGCGTTGGCTTTTGGCCCGCTGGCAATTATCATGCGTGCTGCCCCAAGCTTGTTTCGACCCGCTCTCTGGAATCGTCCTTGGAGCCGCAGATCAAAAAGTACCCCACCGGCCCGTCCAGAAATGAGCCCCAGGGGAATGGAGGTGATGAGGGAAGCGGGGGAGCATGCAGAAGAACAGAGGGCGGGTAAGCCGCCATATGCCCCAAGAGGGGGAGGATGTAGGAGGAGTCGTCGTCGTCTGAGTAGGAGGAGGAAGAGGGGGAGCAGGAAGAGGAGGAGGAGCAGGAGGACGAGCAGGAGGAGGAGAGGAGTTGGAGGAGGGCGAGGACGAGGAGGACGATGAGGAAAAGGACAAGGAGGAGGAGGAAGAGGAGGAGGAGGAGGAAGAGGAGGAGGAGGAGGAGGAGGAGGAGGAGGAGGATGATGAGGAGGAGGAGGAGGAGAAGGAGGAGGAGGAGGAGGAGGAGGAGGATGAGGACAATGGCGAGCTTGGGGGCCCCTTGGGCTGTCTTTGGGGCCTCTTGGCGGTCCCGGGGGCCTTTCGCGTATCTCGGGGAGCCTTTTGGGGCCTCTTGGGGATCTCTTGGGAGTCTCTTGGAGGCCTCTTGGGCGCCTTTTGGGGCGTCTTGGGGCTCTCTTGGGGCGCTCTTGGGAGCCTTCGGGCCGGTTTTGGGGCCATTTTGGACGAGATCTATCAAAGAAGGGGTGGTGGTCAATTAGCGCTGCCCCTCTAGAGTGCCTCGAATCGCCTTTTGGGCCCCCCAAGAGGCCAAAATCCTTCCAAAACCTAGGGGAAATCAATGTTTTGTGCTTTCTCGCCTTTTCGCTCTTGGAGCCGTCTTGGGCCATCTTGGACGCCCCAACGACCCGCGGAACCCTCCGACTAGGTCCAGGGGAGGGGGTAGGGGGAGGGGTAAACCCCTCCCCGAAGGGTAAGAAGGAGGTTGGAAGAGGAAGCTCTCTAGACCACCGACGCCCAGAGGACTGGTGGGATTGGCCCCTGACTATCCAAGAGGCCACCAAGACGCCCCAAGAAACCTCCAAGATGCCCCCAAGGAGCCCCGGGAGGCAAGATCATTGATTACCCGAATGTTCTTCAAAGGGTTTCAAGCTCTCGCCTTTTCAGTTTCCCGACGCTCCGCGACAGCCCAAGAAGTCCCATTGTCTGCTCCAAGACAGCCCCAGAGGCTTCGAAGACGGCCCCAAGACGGCCGAAAGGGGCCCCAAGCCAGCGCCAGAGGCGCCCAAGACGGCCCGAGAGGGCCCCAAGACGGCCCCAAGGGGGGGCCAAGAGGGGTAGCACGAACCGAGAATCCGAGCCTTCACCCTGAGAGGCTCTCAGGAGGCCCCTAGAGCCCCCCAAAAGGCCTCGAGAGGCCTCCAATAAGCTCCCCAGAGGGCCCAAGAGCGTCCAAGAGGCCTCCCACGACGGCGCCAAGAGGCCGAATCAGTGATTTCCCTCAGGTTTTTGACGGATTTGTGAGTTGTCAGCCTTTGCGCATCCCGACGCTCCAAGACGGCCCACGAGGCCTCTAAGGCCGTTACCATATAGCCGAAGAGGCTTCCAATAAGGCCCCAAGACGGCCCTCGAGGGCCCCAAGGCGGCTGCCAAAGCGCTTCCAGGAGGCGGCAAAATCGCTCTCACATGCTGCGATCCATCTCCAGGAGGCCGGCAACAACCCCAAGACGCTCCAAGATGGTATCCTGGCGGCCTGGAGCGCCCCCAAGACGCTCCAAGGGGTTTCAAGAGGTTTCCCGAGAGCGCCCCAAGAGGCACATATCATCGATGTTCGTTGTGTCTTTGTATGTTTTTCCCCACATGCTTAGTGGGGTTCTTGTTTTCTTCCCACCCGCGGCGCACCCGCGTCTCACCTCCTCCCCCTCCTCTTCCTTCTCCCTCACCCACATGTTTCGTGGGGTTCTGGTTCCCCACATGTTTCGTGGGGTTTTGGTTTTTCCCCACATGTTTCGTGGGGTTCTGGTTTTCTTCCCTGCCGCGGCGCACCCGCGTCTCCTCACCTCCCCTCCTCCCTCTCCGTCTCTCTCTCACACACCTCACTCTTCCCCTCCTCCTCACAGCACTGCTCAGCACAGCTCAGCTCAGCTCAGCTCGGCACGGCACAGCTGAGCACAGCTCAGCTCAGCTCAACTCAGCACAGCACAGCACAGCACAGCACGGCACAGCACAGCACAGCACAGCACAGCTCACCGCACAGCAGCACAGCACAGCACAGCACAGCATAGCACACGGGGCATTCCTTCGACGCCACAGGGGGTGCGCTGGGGGTGGGGGCCCTATGCGTTGTAGGCTCCCAGGGCGTGGCAGGCGTGGCATTTCCTCGACGCCACAGGGGGTGCGCTGGGGGTGGGGGCCC